GGGTTAGGGTTGGGGCTGAGGCGAGGGTTAGGGTTGGGGCTGAGGCTGGGGCTAGGGTTAGGGTTGGGGCCGAGGCTGGGGCTAGGGTTAGGGTTGGCGCGGAGGCTAGCGTTAGGGTTGGGGTTGAGGCTAGGGTTAGGGTTGGGGCTGATGCTAGGGTTCCGGTTGGGGTTGAGGCTAGGGTTAGGGTTCGGGTTGGGGTTGAGGCTAGGGTTAGGGTTAGGGTTGGGGTTGAGGCTAGGGTTAGGGTTGGGGTTGAGGCTAGGGTTAGGGTTGGGCCTGAGGCTAGGGTTAGGGTTGGGGTTAGGGCTGGGGCTGGGGCGTGCTCCCATTCCCGGAGGGTAGGAGGACAGCACGGGGCCTTCCTGTTGACATTGAGGCTGGCTACTCGACTGCTGTGAGGGCCCCCTATCCCGGCCCACTCGCCACCAGCCATTAGACCAATAACCAGGCAGAAGGCCTCACCTTCCCTCCCGCTCCCTGACGGCACGGAGCCCCTGGCACAACAGCCTGGCGTTCCCGAGGCCACCAACCGCTATCCGGGTGGATGTGGCGCGGAATGCCACTGGCCGACCGGACTCTGTATTGGTGACCGAGCGCCTTCCCGACAACGGCGGAGGCGCTGACAGACCCCGGCCATTGGGCAAGTAACATTTCGTTCAGTAAGGGTGACACAGGCCCCCTTTGTGGCAACGGCTGGGCCTCAGTCCTGGAGGGACATCCTCCACCCGCCAACAAGGAGCAACATCTCCCCTCGTACAGTAGAGCGGGTAACGGAAACGGGAGGGTGTCCCGTGAAGCCTTGCCCGCTGTTCCGCTCACCGCTCAGGCACCAACCACCCTTACTCGTCATCTGGCCACCGGCGCCAAAACCCAATGCCCAGGGGCAATAGTCTCTGGCAGCAAATAGGCCACAGTCACAAAATAATAATAAAGAAGGTGGGGGTGGGAGCCAGGCCCCCAACAGTTCCAGGCCCCCCAGTCACTCTGCCAAGTGCTCAGGACCCCAGCAATTTCACATCCGGGCCCCAATTCCCTGAGCAGCAGCAGCTCAGGCTCCGGCAACAAGCCTCCTCAGACCGAAACACAGGTCACCAGGCGTCTCAGGGCAGCAGAGGATCCCTCGGGTTCCAGTGTCTCCAGGCCCGAGGCCTCAACCAGCTCCGAGCGGCCCCCAGTTGCAGTAGGTGCTGCCCCAGTACACAGGTTCCGATGACGACAGCGGAGTGCAGACTCCCGAGACACTGCCCTCCAACCCCTCACGCGAGGATCTGGCCTTCCGCCCTCTGCCCGACTCAACTCTACAAGCTGTTCAGAAAGTCACAGCCGGGTAGAGGGGAGATCAGGCCAGCCAGCCAGCTCGGCTGCGGGGTGTCCGCAGGGTTGGGGGCTAGACCCCGATAGAGTGCCGCGCCGTCCGGGGGGGGGGGGGTCTGCGCCAAGGGAATGCTGCGCTGTCATGGGGTCAGCACTGAGGAAACCCTCTCACACTCAAACTGAAAAGCTTCTCTGATAACTCCGTTTCCCAAGGGGTGTCTCACTTCTAAGGTTTCCAACGAACCTGTCGGGTTGGACTCCCACTGCCTGGATCGTTCTGGTCCAGGAGATGAACTTTGGCGGGGGGACTAATGCACATAACAAAGGCAACTGTCCATGACATTGAAGAGCCAGGCACCAATAAACATTATTTGGCTGAGTGTTGCACAGAGCATTCCTCAGCGAAAAGGTTCTCTTCAAGTCCCACACATTCTCTACCCACCCCCCAACCCAGAATTCACTTCAGGATGCAGGCCTCGCTGGGTGGGTTGGCATTTATTGCCCGTCCCTAACTGTCCCTCGAGATGATGTAGGCAGTGAGAGGTGTCAGCAAGAAGGTACCACAGCAGACAGAAACCCGAACTTTATTACAAAAAAAAAAGCTGAAGTGAGTAAATATGAGACCAAACAGCATTTATTAAAATAGGAAGCTGAGTTACAGTGCTTTTGACTCAACAGATAAAATCTCCAACCTCCTGAAAATTAACTGGACTCCAAAGCAAAGAAAATGAGGCAATATTATTAATTACAACGTAAAATACTAGGGGCTCCTTCCTCCTTACATCCTCAACAGAAAAAGAGAGAGAGGAAGATTGATGATAATAATTATAAAATCAAGCACAGGCTTGTCGTTCAAAAGCATTGTCTAAAAGAGAGACAAAGTACAACAAAAACGCCGCAGGACAGGGCAAAATAAAAGAGGGTACAGGTTGGCATCTCACAAACAAGACGGAGGGGGAGATGGTGGGCACCGAGAGCTCAGAGACCCTCTGTGACACCCCAACACCTCTCCCGCGGTGCCCGCTTTGTAAACGTCACCGTTATTGCTACTTGGGAATAGTGCTCCAAGTGTTTATACACACACAGGCACAGGCACGCCGCACACAGACCCACAGGCTTGAGCCCAGGGTCCAGTCAGTTGCCTCAAACCAAGCTCCCGACTTGAACCAGGAGGAACAGAGATCCTAACAAATCTTTTTCTTAAAAAAATACGCATAGCGGGCAATAGAAAAATCAGTATCCCCTAATCCCGCAGCAAGCGGCAGGGGACCCTCAGGGCGTAGCACCGGCTCTCGGAGAGGGGCTCAGAATGGGTAGAGACACCTCTCTCTCTTGCCACTGCAGTGCAGTGCCAGTCACAGTCACGACCCACGGGTACCGGCCCCATCTGGCTGTCAGACAACAACCCCCCAACCCCCGCACCGAACCCCCAAATGTGCAAGACTGCTCCCCATGTCCTTTCACCTCCCCCACAAACCCCCAATCCTGGGCAATTGAGAGGCTTAGATACAGAGTAAAGCTCTCTCTACACTGTCCCCCCCATCAAACACTCTCAGTGACAGGATCAACACGGGGTTAGATACAGGGTGAAGCTCCCCCTACACTGTCCCCTTCCCCATCAAACAGTCCCAGGGACAGGGATAGCACGGGGTTAGACACAGGGTAAAGCTCCCCCTACACTGTCCCCTTCCCCATCAAACAGTCCCAGGGACAGGGATAGCACGGGGTTAGACACAGGGTAAAGCTCCCCCTACACTGTTCCCCCCCCCCATCAAACAGTCCCAGAGGTAGGGGGTTAGGTACAGAGTAAAGCTTCTTCTACACTGTCCCACCGTCAAACACTTTGTATCTCCTTGGTACGCGTCCCATTTGCCTACTGCAGTAACAGCCCTCCCAAGAAGGCTGTCCTCAGTGATGTGTCCTGGTTTGGTGGAGCAGGTGGGGGGGTGCCAAGGGGGCAACAGGCAGGAAAATGCAGGCTCTGAGTCCTATCTACTGGCATTTATATACATACATACATACATACACTTTTGTAGAAAAAAACGTTGCAATGAAAACACACGCACACACACGCCCAACCCCACACACGCACTTGCTCAGGACAGGAGCAATCCCATGAGCCTGAACCAGTCTGCAAAATTACAAAGTGGGTTACAGTGACAGGTCAGACAAGAGAGGAGGATAAAAACTGTTGTCCTGTCATGTAGTGCTGACTGAAGCTGGAGGTGCAGACAGGTGAAAGCAGTCTCTCGGGGCGAAGGGGTGGACAGGGAGCTGGCTTTCTGATTCCGAGAGGGTCCCCACCTCTCTCTCTTTCCCTGCTTCCCCACCAAAGGCCGCCAACAGGTCTCCATTTGGGCAATCGCTAATCCAGGTAAACCCCGCCAAACATCAGTGGAGCAAGGCATCCTGGTGGGGCACAGCTGAAGGCATCTTGGTGCCCGTTCTCTGGGAGAGAACAGGCACAGTGCTGGGACAAGCGCTGCTGCAGAGCTAGCTGGAGCTGGCAGGGGGTGGGGTGTGTGTGCTGGGGGTCAGGAATCCCAGACGGGCGAGCTGGGAGGAGATATTAATGTGGGGGGTGGCGGGGCTAGGCCAAGCACTGAATACCCAAGGGGTTGCTCCTTCTCCAGGATGGGGGTGTAGACACATTCACTCACTTCGCTCGCTGTCTCACACATTCATTCATTCACTCTCGCTCATAAACCAGCGAATGCACCCGTTTTATTCACAAATTTCGTTTCGGGGGTGGGGGGGTGGAAGTGGGTGGCAGAACAGGGAACGCTTTAACCGTTGCCCCCTTCTGTTGGTCCGTTGTCATCTTCCTCCCCCTCCTCCACCTCGACCCCTTCCTCTTCGACCTCCTCCCCGTCATCAATCTCCT